TAGAAGGCATCTCGACTCTTCAGCCTTACCTGCGTCCCTCCCATCATATTCATCTTTGGTCACCTACAAAGATTCCCCTATATATAGCCTTAACAGACCATTGAGGCAAGTGCACATGATGCACGAGGTGATGGCCAGAGAATGCTGTCTGGCCCTCTTTGTCGTCCTGTGTTGATGTTTACAAACGATACGAGGTACTCATTTAAGGCCGAGTTCACCCCACAGATGAACACGAGAGCGACCACCTGCCCTACTTTTTCCCGAGAACGTTTTTATCTTTCAGGAGGTAGCTTGTCCTGATAAATGTGCAAGTCTTGAACTTATTACAAATGTTGTGTGATGACATGCCACTTCAGACGTGTTACATTGAATATTGCAGTTATCCCCACTCCTCTGCTCCTGCGAGACATTGCCATTGCCTCCTGATTTTCTGTTCCTCGGGAGGTGGCAACTCTACCCACAGCACCCTCTCCTCTGGTCTTGGTAACCGTACCCACGTAGCACGTTGCAGCGCGTGCAATGGGCAGCGGTCGTGCTACGGTTTAGCGCTACGCTGCGTTACGATACCCGGCGACCCGAGTTAAATTCCAGCTCTCGGCCACTAACACAGGTGACGATTCTCTTTAATGTTGTCCCGAGCCTCCCCTAGGTCGACTCTGCCTCAAATGAGTACCTGGTGCAATGTGTTAAACATCGCCACTGGTTGGAGACAAAGGTGGCCGAGCGTGGTGCTGGCACCTTCCCCCCCCATGTGCTATGTGGGGGCTGACGTCCACTCCACCGCCCTCGCTGGGCAGGTGGGGCGGTTTGTGTAGAGTCCATAGATCTCCAAGTCTATGGATCTGTATGTAATTCTATGGGTCTCTCTGAGTCGATGCGTCTAAGTAATTGTAAATGCAATCGGAGGGCTGACCAAATCACCCCCTTTATAGTCGTGTAGGTCGAAAAGTTATTTAACCATACTTCACCACTCTGGTCAGTATTGATGAAGATGGTGAGCACAGCAGTGCGATACAATGTACAGGACTGTTCTGCCGCACTGCCCTATGCTGCTCACCACGTATGCCTGCATACCTATAACCAGTTATGCATATCCAGGCTGAAACCTGCTTTGCTTCCAGGATCCGATGAGCTCGGACGCACACAGCCGAGCGATCTGATCAAATGCTCCCGTTTCATAATTATTTAGCCTTCACGAGATAATTCACCTTGGGGGCTGGACACGTGGCAACCTGGCGGAAAGTCGAGCACGTCACATGACCATGGATGGGGGCACCAATTTTACAGATACATGGTGGCCACAGCAAACCTGTCAACCCCCGATCAGTGCCCTACCTTATTACAGACCAATTCAGACCGTATTAGTCACCCCCGTGCCCCTTATAAATCTCAACGTTCATCCTACAAAGTCCAATCACAAGGGAGAAACAAACAAATAGACAAACATTTTTTTTGCCCGTATCGAAACGGCTGTACGCCGTCTGTACCTGAAAACTCAATTTCCCTGTACAAGAATACGGGGTAAACCGTATGGGTTGACCTGGTATGCAACAGCAGCCCAAGCATGAAGGCGCACGGATAGAAAATAAAACAAGTTATGCCATGCATAATACACCGTGGATTTATGCAAAGCTTACCAACATGCCTTTATCTTCTGGAATATTTAATTAGCAATATTTAATTCTAATCAATAAATGTAATTAGCATACTGTTTGGTACTTTCGGTAAAGTCACGTAGGTAGAAATAAAATAAAACCACGACGTTTCGATCGCAACACAAGCGATCTTCATCAGGTGGGACAACCACAGCGAGAAAATGCTGAAGTAGGTGGAAGAGCTGCCGTGGCAAGAGGTTATATAGGTAAGAGAGGGGGGAGAAGGCAAGGGGTTATATAGGTAAGAGAGGGGGGAGAAGGCAAGGGGTTATATAGGTAAGAGAGGGGGGAGAAGGCAAGGGATTATATAGGTAAGAGAGGGGGGAGAAGGCAAGGGGTTATATAGGTAAGAGAGGGGGGAGAAGGCAAGAGGTTATATAGGTAAGAGAGGGGGGAGAAGGCAAAGGGGTTATATAGGTAAGAGAGGGGGGAGAAGGCAAGAGGTTATATAGGTAAGAGAGGGGGGAGAAGGCACGGGGTTATATAGGTAAGAGAGGGGGGAGAAGGCAAGGGGTTATATAGGTAAGAGAGGGGGGAGAAGGCAAGGGGTTATATAGGTAAGAGAGGGGGGAGAAGGCAAGGGGTTATATAGGTAAGAGAGGGGGGAGAAGGCAAGGGGTTATATAGGTAAGAGAGGGGGGAGAAGGCAAGGGGTTATATAGGTAAGAGAGGGGGGAGAAGGCAAGAGGTTATATAGGTAAGAGAGGGGGGAGAAGGCAAGGGGTTATATAGGTAAGAGAGGGGGGAGAAGGCAAGAGGTTATATAGGTAAGAGAGGGGGGAGAAGGCAAGGGGTTATATAGGTAAGAGAGGGGGGAGAAGGCAAGGGGTTATATAGGTAAGAGAGGGGGGAGAAGGCAAGGGGTTATATAGGTAAGAGAGGGGGGAGAAGGCAAGGGGTTATATAGGTAAGAGAGGGGGGAGAAGGCAAGGGGTTATATAGGTAAGAGAGGGGGGAGAAGGCAGCTCTCACGCCGAATTCAGCATTTTCTTGCTGTGGTTGTCGAAACGTCGTGATTTGTTTTATTTTCTACCTACGTGACTTTACCGAAAACCAAAGAGTATGGATTCCTGCAGTCACGAAAGCTTCAAATCAAGATTTAATTAGCAGTTAGGAGAGCAGCGACGGATTGGCTGGTGCGAAGGCAAAATGCGTTTTGCAGATGTACAGATAATGTACAGCACTGGAGTGGTGTTTGCACGTGTTGCGTAGATGCGGGTTTCAGGCAACCCTGCGATGAAAACGCCAGTTATATGTTCTCTTTTAAGGCAGCTTTATTGACGAATGCGAATTCTTCTGAAACGAATTTTGCCAACTTGTTTTTTACTGGACATGTGAAAAAGAGCTTTGTAGCTCATCGGATTCCTTCAGTATAGGATTATGTAGGTCGTGGCTAGTAGCATAACTTTGTACTAGAGTAAAAATGTGGTCTTAAAATAAAATATACATATATACAGTAATTGGTGACGTTTTGGGCCATTGCCCTCAACATCCTAAATTATTTTGATTTTAAAAATCAGTGTTGACAAATGTATTAGTTTTGTTTTTGTGCATCACTTCTAATACATTAAATCAACTTTCATTTTATGCCAGAGAAGTTGAGTTCATATTGGTGCCTCTTGCCAAGTTATAATAAATTCAAACGTGGGTCTGGGCAGAATACGTCAAGATAAACCGACGGCGGAGTGGTAGACAATGATGGAGGGGCACAAGCTCAAGGGTGCAGACGCCAGACGGGTTGTTGTACAAGACAAAGGATTAGCAACTACTTTGTACGTGTGTAAAACTTATTTTGCGCCGTACGTAGCCAACCCTGCTCATTGGAGATGCGGGGAGGGGGGGGGGAAGGCACAAGCTCCCAGTGGCTTCATAATATCAGAAGCACGTTCCAGACGGCCGCCGAAGCGCATCTGAAAGCACGCGATGCGGTGACCGTCTTTATTCGATGTTTAGCCAAAAGCCGCTGTGATGATGAGTGGAGCTCGCGTGATGGTTTAGGGGGGGAATTCGGCAAGCAGTTGAGCAGTAGAGCGATGATCGCTGATTTTGAAAAATATTAACTTGCGTGGAGTTTTATACCTTCAAGAAAACTTGATTTTACTCGAGGCAAGATGGCGTTACTATATTATTTTCCAGAATGACGTGCCTCTATATCTATGGAAAGAGCAAATTGGAAGCAGACGTGGGCTGCCCTAGCCTGACGAACCGACAAATTTCAAGTTCGTGAGAAGCCGATTCAAGTTGAGTCACTTGTGTAAAAAAAAGTGCTTTGTAAAACACAACTCACAATCTACCGCATCCATCATTAACACTGCCTTGTAAACTTAAAATCTGTCACGACACCAGGTGTGCACTCGATGTGGTTTGTTGGCCTCTGCTAACTTGACAAAGAAAATGGAACAAATAAAAGCAGATGTGCACCGAGATAGGAACATGGATTTGAGAAATTTGGCAAGTTAGAGATCCTATTCTTTGGGTCTTTCGGTAAAGTCACGTCGATAGGTTCAAAGTAAATAAAAAAATAACAAAAAACTACGTTTCGATCGCAAGACAAGCGTTCGGGGGTTAGAAGCTAACCTCTCTTCCTGATGTTATTTTTTGTTATTTTCTTTGAACCTATCTGCGTGACTTTAACGAAAGACCCAAAGAATATTAATTCCTGCAGTCACGAAAGCTTTTAGTCAAGGTTTAAGTTAGAGGTCGTAAAAAGCGATAAGCGAAGTGGGTTTTCGCAGGAGACATCACGAGCAGGGATGATGGCTGGTTGGTCGAGACTAAGAACGGAGCGGCAGCTAACGGCCACTGCTAAAACACGCGAGCATCGCGTACGTCCATTCCCTTCGTCATTCCCGAGAGCCACGTTCCGAAGATGCTCGTGAGTAGCTCATTTCGCACACGATATTGTCCTACGAAAACCTAAATCTTTCTATGAATTACTTTAAATACATAAATGAAAATGATTACACAAAAACTTCGGTTATAATAAATAAAATGAAAATAAATGTTGAAGCATTAATAGTTTGTAAATGAAGTTCCCGTTATCTCACTTTACCTCATCACTTTTCCTCTCTTTCGACGCAGTCGTGGTGCAGAGATCCAGATGCCACTTTGCATAAAAGCCAAAAATCGCGGATAACAAGTTTGTGAAAAACGAGGAGAAAATACCGTATAGGTATCATAAGGCAGCGTTAATGACACGTGCTGCTTGCAGTTATTTAAATTGTGCGATTTTCTTGAATAGTTTCGTAAGCCCAATGATCTCAAGAGACTCCACGCCAAACCTAACTTGGCTGTGTCCATTTATCTTCAACCATGCTCAAGAAACCTATCACACGGACGCACGAGAACATCGTATTATTTTATGTACAGTATACGGATTATTTTATGTACAGTATACGGATTTACAATGAATTTTTACGAAATGAGACTTTTTTTTTAAATAACGTTTTTATTCCCCTTGGTTATTTCCAAAATGCCACATAGCAAGGAATACTCGTGTACTGCGGTTGTAATTGTATTCAGAAAAGTATTTATCAGTAGCATAAATCATGGCCAGCAGTGCAATAATATACCTAACTAAAAGTAAAGAGTATTTACATTTAAACAAGCAGTGGATTTTCACCACGCAGACACGCACGCAGGCACAAACCCAAATACAAAAAAAACTCAAAACAAAACTGCGTCCCTGATGACACTATAATTTACTTTCGAATGACCTAAGAATCGGCAAAAAAATATTTACAAAAAATAAGAACGCATACATTTGAAGCATTATGCATCATCGCACAACACGAGGGGCCTTAACCGCACCGGACAAGCTCATCATTTGTCAAGTGGGGAAAGCCACAACGAATTGAAAATAACGGAACATTAAATTAAAAAAGATCGGCCAGGGAGAGCAGTAACAAAAGTCCCTAGTTTCGCGATGCCGAGTGAATTAACGAGATCCCAAACTGGAGGAGCAAGCAAAGATATTCTTTACGGAGAGAGAAAAAAAACATTTTTTTTCATCCTTCAAAAAGAAAACCCGACGCAAACTGCATCGATACTAAAGAACAATAAACAGAATTAACGTTTTCTTGTACTTGGTGCTGTTTTTGCATACTTGCCAAGCCCCTGGCTTCAAGCCTTATCAGGCAGTTTCTGTGGCGCGCACTCGCACGCACTCGCTCGCACGCACTCGTGCGGACCCTCAAACAAACGCGTGCACGTGCGCACGTACATACACGAATGTGTATGTACGTAAACACACACACTTCACATGTCACACAACGCTCGCTCTCACACACACACACACAAGGACAAAGATCTTCCTCCCTGTTATAACTTTACATAGGCCGTTGGGGAAAGCGTTGTCAAGCGAGCACAATATGAAGGCCGACATGGCGTACGAAGGGGGTGGGTGGCCAGCACCACGCCCTGACTGCCGTTTGTTTTCCCAATGCTGATATTTAAGACACTGCACTCGGGTACTCATTTAAAGTCGAGTTGACCTCGGCGAGGCCAAGGACCGGTTCAGATATCAACATCGGCACCGATGACTGCTGTGGCCTGGAATCGAACTCGGGTTGCCTAGGTTGGTAGCGCAGTGGACTAACCACTACGCCACCGCTCCCCATACGAAGACAAACACTCACGCATGCTCGTTGTCAGACAAGACAAAGATCCTCCGTGTAGCCTTAACAGACTTTTGGGGCAAGTGCTGTTTAGCGAGCACCTCTGAAGGCCGGCACGTTACGAGGTGGTTGGTGGCCAGCACCACGCCCGGCCGCCTTTGTCTCCCCAGTAGCAATGTTTACACACCGCATCAGGTACTCACTTGAGGCTGAGTCGACCTAGGGGAGGCCCAGGACCGGTTCAGATAATCGTCACTGGTGTTGGCCGTGAGTGGGAACTCTGGTCGCCGGGTTTTTAGCGCAGCGTAACGCTAACCGTTGCACTACCACACAGGCACAACACACAGGCGCGCACTTACACACAGGCGCGCACACACGCTCACAATGAAAGACACTCGCACGTTCAACGACAGGGACACGGCATACACATTCTTGCACGGCCAAGACCCACTCGCACGTCCTCACTCGCAGGCCGGGTCGCTCTTTCTTCCCACTCGCTCGTGAATGTGCCAAAGAGGAGCGCGGTGCGACGGCACAACGCCGGCCTTCTCTGGGCTTGCCCGAACGTAGGACGAAGCCAAACAGTCCCCCTTCCCGCCCGTCAGGGAACTCCCCCCCCCCACCCCCCTCCCGGTCAGAGCCGCAAGCGACACGTGCACCGGGGCCGGCTCAACGCGTCTCTCATCGCTCGCTCTCTCGCATTTTTGGTGTTTCCGCCTTCGCATGCTTTCCACTCAATGGGACGGGGGGGGGGGATTCCCAGTGCCGCCGAGAGCCATGTACACCAAGCCCACCCTCCCCGTGCTGCGCCAGTCCCTTATTGTACACAGCCCCCCCTCCACACCCCCTCAGTTTGTCAGGATAAGGCGCCCCCCCCCCCTCCTTCTCTATGACGATGGCCCCTAGGCACAATCGTGGCAACAGGGTAAAAGCAGGGCTACGCTGTACTGATGATCCCTAATGAGGGCAAAACCGGGAGTAACCGCACAGTTGCCGTGGCGCTTATACAGCTGCGATATCTCAAATAGCAGTCGCACTTCCGCCCGAAGCAGGGACCGCCGTGCATATATGAAGCGTCATCGCCGTCAGCCGTGATCAATCCGCTGCTGGATGAAGGCATACATGTATGTACATACACGCGCACGAGCCCTGTGGCGGCACGTGCGGGGAGGAGGGGTGGGGTATTGCGGCTCGACACACCCACGATGCCGTTCGGGCTCATTGTATGAAATCGGCCTCTCTGTCACCCGACCGCTCTCGCTCCCTCCCCCAGCCTACTCCTTCTTCTCCTGCTTCTTGCCCTTCTTGCCGCTGCCCGCACGCCTCTGCCCCGACGCGGCCCGGTCGCGCGACGCCACCGCCGTCGCGCCTGCGGCCTCCGCGCCGCCGCCATCGTCGCCGGCCGCCCCGGCCGCCCCCGCCTCGCTCACGCGCTGCAGCAGCAGCAGCTCCGCCGGCCTCAGCGGCCTCCGGCCGGCGCCTCGGCCGTCGCGCAGCGAAGCCAGCACCTCGGCGTGCAGCTCCCCGAGCTTGAGGCGCAGCCCCCGCAGCGCCCGCCCGCTTTCCAGCTTCTCGCGCAGCAGCTCGTCCTTGCGCCGCCTCAGCGCGGCCAGCTCGCCCTCCAGCGTCAGCAGGGTGTCCAGCTTGCGCTTGCGGCAGTTCTGCGCCGCCACCTTGTTCTTGCCGCGCCGGCGGATGTCGCGCACGAGCGCCAGCTGCGGCTCGGAGAGCCGGTGGCCGCCCAGCAGCGCGTTGAAGTCCTCCACGGGCAGGTTGATGATCTTCTCCGTGGAGAAGGGGATCTTCATGGCGCGCGCACGGCGCTCGTCGCGGGACAGGCGCGTCGACGGACGGTCCTTGCTCGACGCGGAAACCGGCGACGGTGCGGACGACGGCTTGCCCTGCTGCTGCTGCTGCTGCGCCGGCGTGACGCCGGCCTGCAGGTTGTACGTGTGGTTGTGCTGCACGTGGTCGAGCGAGGGCGTCGCGCGGAAGCTGTCCGGGTTGCGGAAGTCCATGCGGCAGAACTTGCGGTACTCGGGCTGGTAGCCCCCGACGGCGCCCTCCTCTTCTTCCTCCTCGTCGTCGTCGTCTTCGTCGTCGTCCGAGGACGAGTCCACATCCATCGTCTCGCCGTCGCTGTAGCCCACCGCCCCCTCCTCCTCCTCCTCCTCCTCGTCGTCCTCCTCGTCACCGGCCGTGATGGACGAGCCGGGCGACGAGGCGCGGGGACTCGAGCCGAGAGAGAGGCCCGAGTCGGAGTCAAGCTCAGCGCAGAGGCTTGTGCGCTGAGTCGCTCCAAGCATCTCCCCCGCTTCGCCCTGCTGCTGCTGCTGCTGTAGCTGCAGCTGCTGCTGCTGCTGCTGCCCAGCATCGGCACCACTCTGCTCCCTGCTCATCGTGGGGACGCCGAAGAAGCTGGAGATTCCGTCGCACGCGGAGAGCAGAGAGTTGGAACGGGGCGGCGTCGGGACGGCAACGACCCCTCCGGTTGGGGAGGAAGAGGAGGAAGAGAAGGCGGAAGAGGAGGATGATGATGATGATGATGGGGAAGAGGAGGAAAAAGAAGAGCAACTGCCGACCGCGGGGGGGGCGGCGGGGCCGACAATGTCCATGCCCTCCTCGTCCGTGAGATCCATGAGGCTGAGCTCGTCGAGGAAGGCCGGGTCCAGGAGCCCCGTGAGCGCCTCGTCCGACAGGTCAGAGGAGAGGCGCGGCGCGAGCGGCGCTCCCAGCGGCGCTCCCAGCTCCATGTCCATGACGTCGGCGACGTCGGACGAGTCGAGCCGGAAGAAGTTGCGCGAGTGGCACGGGTCGAGTGCCTCGAAGCCGCTGCTGAAGAAAAACGACGACGACGGCGACGACGGCGGAGACGAGAAGGGCCCCCGGGCAACGGGGTTGGCGGCTCGCGACGAAGCGTCCCTCCTCCTCGTCGCGGCGGCGGCGGCCGCGGCGGCGAGGAGGAGGGCCGCTTCGTCGCGAGCGGCCACCCCCGAGGTGGCGGCGGCGTCGTGCAGGCTGACGTCGCGGGTGATGGGGCACGAGGAGGCGTTGAGCGACGAGAGGAGCAGCGAGCCCCGCGGCCCCGCGTCGCCAGCGAGTTCCGGCAGCAGGGCCGAGTCGTAGGCGTCGGGGAAGCTGTCGTTGGTGGCCGCCAGCGCCTGCGCGCGGACGCAAAGGATCCACGCAGCGTGTGGCGTTACACAGACTGCTGGGGGAAGTGCGGTCGGTGAGCGCCTATTAAGGCCGGAACACAGAGAGAGAGAGAGGCGCACCCAGTTTGGAGCTCGGAACCACACGGAGGGTTTCCGGATGATAATTAAACCTTTCCCATTCTGATGACGTACATGTACGTACGTACATAAAATAAAATATGCTTATCTGTACGTCTTCCCATCCGAAGACGTACCAAGGATCCCACAAGGCCATGCGGGAGGGCATATGCCACAGTACAGTGCCTTTAAAAACAATGGCGGTATGCCTCCCTAAATAAAATTCACGCGAAGCCCCTGCACATTCCGAAATTCAGCGGGGAACGGCAAAGGGTATGACATTTAAGACGTAGGGGACGCGCGCCATCACGTCCCGAAGAGCTGCCCCGTCCTCACCTCAAACTCGGGCAGGGAGAGCAGCTCCTGCAAGTGCCGGTCCAGAGCGGTCGAGCGAGGAGGGGCGGCCCGATCGGCCACCCCCGCCACTGTCATCGTCGGCAGGGCCAGGTCAACGCGCGGCGGCGGCAGCTGCTGCTGCTGCTGCTGCTGCGGTGGCACAGCAACCTGCTTCACACAACCACCACCGCCGCCGCCGCCACTGTCAGTAATTTTCGAGTCACTGCTACTGGATTTGTTTGTTGGGCAGTTCATTGGTGATCATATGGAAGCCTATGGATCTCGATATCATCTCAGCCTATGGGTCTACGTAAGCCTACGAGTATCTACATGAACAAGTGCATAGAAGTCTGTGTAAGTGTATGAGTTTCCTGTTTAAGTTTGTGGGTATTGGGGTACGTGTAAGTCTATGGGTCTATCTAAGCCTATGAGTATGCAAGTCTAAAGGTTTGTGCATAAGTCTATGGGTCTCAATAACGGCATATTAGAAAGGGGCCTTGAGATTGTGACTGGGATGACACCATCAGATCGCTCCAGTTGAAAGCCCGGTTTAATCACGGCTGGACGGCACAAACCTGGAATTGAACTGGGAATCTCAGCGACGCCGGCTCAACATTTCTGAGCCCAGGGTCCCCTGGCCACGTCGATCAACTCACGAATGACGTCGATGGCCTCGGCAGAGCACAGTCAAGAAACCAACCCCACGTAAATCTCATCGTTAATTTTCCACGCCCATCGGTCAGAATCGTATTCCTTCAAACGATGGTTCCTTCAGAACACCTTCGTTGAAAGCTGCCAACATATGAAAACTCAAGGCCCCTTTCTTATATTGTAACGGCGATACAATTTGAACACCACTCATTGCAATTTAATGTCTGTTTTGAAATTCCTCATTAGAAGGGGGGGGGGGGGGGGCGGGCGGAACCAGCGGGTGGGGGAAAGAAGACCAAGATCTCCCTTGTAACCTACCGCACTCCATCCATTAGGGCAAGCGCCCTTATAGCAAGCACCAATTAAAGGCTGGCGGGCCGGATGAAGGGGTGGCCACCAGCACCACCAGTGCTGGTGTTTACACACTGCACCAGGTATTTACTTAAGGCCGAGTCGACCTGGGGTGGGTGTGGCCCTTGCACTCGTTCAAATATCCGTCATCATGGCCTGTAATCCTTCCGATATAATAGGAAGACACGTGGAGCCTTGCACCTTCCTTGACAACTGCTTTGTGAGTTTGGTTTGTTGCCCACCCTCCAATTAGCACAGTTGCCTACGTACGATGTATCTGTGGGTCTCTTTTGTCTGATATTAGGAAGCCACTGGAGCTATGCACTATTAAACCATCAAAGATTGAAAACTCATGTCTTTAGCACTGCTTTTCGTGTTTAGTTTGTTGGCCTTCCCCCCCCCGCTCCCCGCACCTCCGATTAGCACAGTTGGCTACGTACATTGCGAAAGAAGTTCAACATACACACACGAACGGAGTAGATTCGTGGCGCAGTGCGCCAACCGCAACGCCGCCGATAACCACGTTGCCCCCAGCAGGTGGTTTCAAGAAAACACACACAGGACCAACGTCGGGCCACATCCTCAAAATCAACAATCGGCCGCACAATGAGACTTACACCTCCCCCTACGGCACACAGAGTGTGGTCAAGGACTAAAGAGAAATATGCCTTCAAAATTCTGGGTGGTGCAAAGGGCTCCCACACCTGGTTACAAATCAGAGGCGTTATCGAACCGCCGGTGGGGGGGGGGAGAAGATTGATGGATTCTTGCGTGCAATCAGGGGGAGTCCACGCGAAGACCTCGCACACTAAAACACTTGGTGGCAAACCACAGTATCCTCCCCACGTGATTGCAGGTCACATGTAGTGCGTCACCCAAAATAGCCTGTCGCGCATTTTTTGTTAGGGGGCCCCCTAAAATTAATATCTATTTTAATAAATTACGCTCCTAGAGCTCAATTGGCTTGTAATATTCTGTTTCGGTGGCAGCTTTTTTTTAAAGCTTTATTCTTTATTGCCGTCTCTATATATATATTTATATATATTTATATGAATAGCAATCCAGTAAAACCTTGGATTGCGAGCATAATTCGTTCCGGAAACGTGTTTGTAATCCAAAGAACTCGTATATCAGTTGTGATCATGTGACGCTCGGCAGACAAAGCGTGTCCGTACTACTCGTATTGCAAGACCCTCGCTCATCAAATTAATATTTCACATTTTTGCTCGTCTTGCAAAACACTCGCAGACCAAGTTACTCACGATCCAAGGTTTTACTGCATGATATAATAATCGAGTAAATATGACATTCTTGCCAGTCTTATAGTGCAAGGCTACCACAAAGGTGCTAGGTTTCACACACAAATATGGAGGGGGGGTTGACACATTGCTTTGTGGCTTTTACCCAGCCGAACACCGTGCGTGATAATTTTCCAAATTGGTAAATTTGGAGTGCGCCGCTGCTCAACGGTTGACACCTCTCCTTGACGAACGTCGCAGGATCTTTGACGGCCACTGCGAAGCGGCCTGCACGCATTTCTTCAGTTTAATACACCCGCGGTAATAATTCACCAGGGCGGCCCGCTGGGCTCAAACCACTAACCTCTTCAATGAGCGCCAAACGCACTAATCGCTCGACCATGCCACAGGCTTTCTTGCAAATAATAGGGTTTTAGTTAAAAACCCGGTTATATACCGGGCTCAGTGGGACGTACCTGCTAAAATAAAAATGGTTAACTTTTTTCGGTTTATAGCAGCAGCCGCCGCAGCAGCTTCAGGAAGGTGAAGAACGCGAACCCCGTATCTGGCATCACACGCAGTGCCTCACCTCGCTCCCCTCGCCGAAGGGAAAGTTCGCTTCCAGCAACTGCAGGCACTCGTCCAGGCTGAACGTTTCGCTTGGCAAAGTCGCGGGCTGTGGGAGTGACACAAGACAAAGATTCCCCCCCCCCACCGCCATATACCATTAACAGACTGTTGGGGCAAGTGCTGTTATAATCGAGCACCTATGAAGGCCGGCACACGAGGTGGGGTGGGTGGCCAGCACCACGCCCGTCGCCTTTGTCTCCCGAGTGGCGATGGTTACACATTGAACCAGGTACTCGTTTGAAGCCGAGCCCGACCTTGGGGAGACCCAGGACCGGTTCAGATAAACGCCAAAATTACTGGTCGTGAGCAGGAATCGAACTCTGGTCACCGGGTTTGTGAGCGCAGCGGGGTAACCGCTGCGCAACCGCTCCCTCTGTGGGAGTGGCACCAACACAGCAATACATTGTGATGTTGCCACACAGGATGCCATTTCTTCAGAGACACTTTGTTGTGCCTGCGCACACAAACACACCCAGGGCTTAACATCCCACCGAAATATTTTCCCGGTGTCTCTAAATGGCCACAGCCACACAGGGTTATACTGGATGGAGCGTACCAGGTGAGGAAACATTTTCAGGGTCGTCAAACTCGATCGACAAGAACCCGGCTGAAATAAAATCTTCGTTACCGAACTCATGCCAGTCCACTGCTGGATGAAAGCCTCCGCACGCCGTGCGGGTCCACGTGGGTTATTAGACCACACCTTGACCGCGCTTGCTGGCCGATGCGGGGTTGGCAAATTGACGAGAAGCATGGACATTGGGAGAAAAGCAAATGCGGTACGACAATTAAATGCTGCAATGGCCTTTGTTGCCCCACATCATAGCAACCCACAGTTGCCTATGAATGTACGCATGATGAACTTCTGTCGCACGGTACGTAGCCAACCGTGCCATATACAAATCGGGCGCCTACAACTCCTGATACATACATGATGGTCTCCCATCCAAGCACCATCGAGGCTCAAGCCCCGATTAGCTTGCAGGATCTGATGAGATCGGCCGTTTTCCCGGTGACTCAGCCAAGACGCTCGTTCATTAGCAACACGCGCCCCAGGCTCGGTTTCAAAGCACAAGGGGTGTGGCTCATCTCATGAAGTGTCAGCCGTCTTGCTAAACAGAATTGCAATTAAGGGGGACTTCTCAACCTCGTTGAGCAGGTAGCATGTGTGGCTCGAGGGTCAGAGACACTGAGCCAGTAATAGCTGACTACTTCGCCTGCTGTACACGAGGTCGTGGGTACGAGCCCGACTCTGACACCTGCTGTATATTTGGAGTTTGCGTCTCTCCCCCCCCGTGGTCCCGTGGATTTTTCTCTGGGTCCTCCAGATTTTCCCTCCACATTTTTAAACAACACGTGTTCAGTTGTATTTGGCTGCAATGCATTTGCGCATGATGAGCCACTTCGTTGAGCTATCATTTGTGGCCAGGTCGCTTCTGAAAAAGAGCTATAAAGCTCAGTGGGCCTTACCTGGTAACTTAAAGGTATAGTAGAAGTGTAGTGAATCCAAGTTTATGCCTCCAATGGACACTCATAGGCATACATAGACCCCGTAGACTTACACTTAGGCAGTGACCCACAGATGCACGTAGGGACCTGTAGACTTACTACTAGAGGTCCATAGACGGAGTTATGAATAAACCAAGTACTACTCAAGTGTAGTGAATCAATGGTCCCATCCCACTCAATAATACCTGCATAAAAAAACTGTCATTTTAAACACAGCTTTTCACTTCAGCTACATTATGTAAACGTTAACTAATCGTTGTGTCTCGCACACGCGCAATTTACGGCAGGTACATGGCCAAGCTGGAGCGTGTTTGCCGCTTGATGTGGAGGTTTTGCAGTTCGGAGCCCAGCGGCGGCCCTGGTTAATACTGCGGGTGTAAATGTTGTGGGCTTACTCTCCCAACACACTTGTGTACTGAAGTAGTAACTAATTGGCACTTTTTCTTTAGGTGACAAACTTTATTAATTGGCTGTGTCGGGTGGTGGCGGGTTGTGCGACATTTACATGTACGCGATGTAACCCAAAAAACCTTTAATATGGATATTGGTCGTGAAAGCCTACTCCTACTACTACTACGTGTTAAACTGACCGCGGGTGTGTTGACCAAAGAATGATGCACAGTCTGCCAAATTTGATCAATTTAATCACAAAATTACTTCAGTGGGAAAAACCACATTGCAACATCACCCCCCTACTGACAGACCCATGCCCCACTTCTTACAGGCCGGCAGCATTCACAATCAGAAAATGTATTATTTATACTGGAGGAATCCGATGAGCTATAAAGCTCTTTTTCACAGATGTCCAGTCGTTCACCTTGTGCAGCCCAGGGACTGCTGCCACCTGTGGGTGTCCCCTTGGTTGGGACTACAGTTGGGGTGCATTGCAATGGGCCGAGATGAGAAGTGACGCAGAGCTAACTTGCAGAGCTAACTTGAGTTTGCCGAGGCTTTTTAAAAAAAAGCAAATTCCTAACCGTGGGCGCAAGACACCTATTTTAAATCGGGGAAAATTAGCCCGCTGTTGTTGCACGACTCCCAAGGGGACCCCCGCCCACGCTGCTCACCTGCACGAGCCTCTCATCAGACGTTCCGCCCTCCACAACTTCGCCCGTCTCCCCGTCTACCGCCTCCGCGTGCGTCCCATCAACACCGCCACCGGCTCCTGGGAGCCGCTCCTCCTTGGCCTGCCGCTGGCGGTGCAGCGAGTCGAAGGCAACGCGCTCCGCGCCCAAGTCCACGTCCTGACGCCACAGCACCTCGATGAGGTCCAGGTCCTGGGGTGAAACGCGCAAAGCAGCCAATTAATTAGCGAGGTTTTGTGTCACGCATAAAACCAACGTTCGCCCCCCCCCCTCCGCACCAAACCATTTCACTCCTGCGCCAGAGAACATCACATCACTCTAGGCGTGTTACTTTACCGCAAAGCAGTAAAAAGTTACCAAGTGTATCAGTCTGCTCAAAAAGCACAATGGAGCAGAGCCGATTTCCTAATGGAAAGCTTCAGCCACCAGTGTAAATTCCACATTTCTCTGGAAGGGACCAGCCTCTCACAAGACACTTTGCTGCAGAGCGACACTCATCGCCTGCCGTGATCGCTTCCACTGCTAGATGAAGGCCTCCCCCAAGCCAACGCTTGCTCTTCCCATAGTTGTTGAGCAGACAGGGCATGACAGGATATGATGTCATTTGGGTGTATAAATAGTCACGCCACCTTCCCCATGTGTAATTTTACTTTGACCCAGGGCAGGCCACAACTTGTTTACAGGTCATCTGTGGGGTTTGTTTTTAAGTTTCCCTTACAAGCAGAGACACTTCATACTGCCGGGCACATGCACACGCATGTATGCGTTTCAGATTCGCGCAACTACAAGTCGTGATCAAGATCGAGATGACATCATTGACAAAGCTTGTCGATGCCAAAATAACTCGCCATGTGATATCAAACGGCAGATAATGGATATACACTTTCAGTTCCTGGAAAATCCAAAACGCTGGCAAAGAAAGCTTTTAATACACTTCCATTTAAAACAACTTCCACGGAAGTCGCAACGCTGCGTCGAACCTGCCGCCCCCGCAGTCGAGCTAAAACACGAAACAAGGATTCTTCCGATCCGGCGAAAATCCGTCCCTCCTTAAGATTCACCAAGCCAAGCAACAAAAAGCTATTTTTGTTGTTTGGCAGAAACGTCCGCGAGGCAGACCCCTATGGGGGCGGACAGGGATGGGCTGCCGCCTTGTTGTTTTCCTTGGCCAACGGTTACACAACAGCTTGCAGGTGGACACCCCCCCCACCGTCCCAATGACGACGGAGGTGGGTTAAGAAACGGCGGGCAGATTGCCGGGTAAAAAAGAAAACCACAACACCACCGTGGGGGGGGGGGGGCAGTCGCCCAGAAAACAGCCTCAACGCTCAGCAACAGCAGTTGCAGTGCCCCACCCCTTGACTTGGGGCGACTTTGGTGCCCGCGTGCGTGCGAGAGAGTCGATGCCTTTGTGTGCAGTCTGCACCCTGCAGCCGAAGGTACAGAAAAAGGGTGTGTGTGTGTGGACGTTTGTGGGCATGTTGTGTTGCCAAAGCTATGGAGCGGGGGGGGGGGGTGGAGGGCAACACCCATCATGTGTCAGTCTCGAAATTAAAACAAATCGATCAGTGGATTTTATATATACTGTATATGACGATACTTTACACCGTTACCGGTCAGTGGTGGAGTATTTAAAGGAGTTAGAAAATTTAAAAAGGGGCACAAATAAACAGGAGCCCACTCACGGATTCATAAAATAGCGCTGACAATCGAGAGAAAAAATATATAATAGGTGACATTTTGGGCAATGTTCATTCTTCGCAGCAGAGATCCTTTCCTGTTTTACGGCAGTGTTATCGTCGAAAGTGCTAGAGTATGTTTAACACGTAATAGGCTTTCACAACTAATATTATCCATAAAGGTTTTTTTTGGGGTTAGATCACGTGAACATAAATGTGTCGTTAAACCCGCCACCACCTGACACAGCAAATTTAGCGAGCTTTGTCACAAACGTAACGTGACATTCGTTACTACTTCAACAAAACCCTTGATTATGCTGAAGTAGAGATTCATAACTGGTAAGGGATGGAGATGTCCTCAACAATCATTCATATTATAGTCATCTTGGTTGTCAGTTATGCCTGGTAACTAAGATGCCTTTCTTTGTGAGGGAGTAGAGATGGTAAGTTTTGAACCTATCCATGCAGAGATTTTGATGTATCCATCGCGCATGCTTCATTTTCTCCAGGCACCATGTAATGTTTTGTTCCAACATACGTACAAAACAAATGCTCAGAAAGTTGTTCAAATATCCCACGTAAACCGTTTAAACAATCGGCGTGTCTTCCCTGTGAAAACAAGTTAAATTACAATTCATATTTCTGTGTCAACATGTCCAATGGATATAAATAGTACACGTTTCTGAGTAAAGATTAAGGCTGAAGCCATCACGAGATCATTTTTGGGCACATTAATAAATCACGATGCAGACAACTTGAATAGTTTTTTTTGTACCAGACTTGACACCATAGTGCTTTTTTATATTTACATCAGTTATGGGCAAATGAGAGACAGAGTACACGTTGAATTAGAGAACACAAGCATTCGGTTGGCTTGGGGGTAGGACACGTTGCTGGAAGGGATGGATTCCAGAGACTTGAGGCTAATGACAGAACAGCAGCCAAAGGAGGGCACACACAACTGAGCCAACATCAGCTGCTGGTTGGATTGTTCACATCGCATGATCATAGTTCAGGGAGGGGCCCTTCATCCAGCAATGGACTAATCATGGCTACGTGATGGATTTTTTTTACTAAAGCATTTGTTGTTTATGGCGAGACGGCGTTCAGATGCGAGACACGCTCATACATTTAGGAGCTACTAATTATGAGAAAGCCTTTTATTTTGAGATCGGAGACCATGACGAAAGGTCACTGTGACATCCTGGTGAAGCCAGCCAAGGTCCGTCAGTCATAAACCAAACAAATATTTATGGAATGAATGGACAAGCTCCAACCACACTGGGGTATTTAACTGGCACTCAGAAAATGCCTCGGTTACTTTACAGCATCTGGATATGGAGCAAGCCAATCGTGCCATGTTGCCTTGTGGCAGTTTGGTCCTTGGAAACCTCTCAGGGCTGAGCCACGGGGGCATTTGGCAGGAAAAAAAAAGATCTCTTGTACATGCATGATGGTGAAAAAGAGTGGCAGATGCCTTTAAAAATGTTATTATAGAAAGGCTAAAATACTGAGATTTGCCACGAATATTAGTCAATCCTATGCTTACAACTAGAACAAATCTGAACAACAAAAAAGTTTGCATTTAGGCTGCCAAAAATTACAGCCCAGTGGTCTGAATAAAACTAAAGCTACTATAAACTTTTTTTTTATTTTACCAGGTAAGGCCCACTGAGCTATACATCTCTTTTTCAGAAGTGACCTGGCCACAATTGATAGGTCAACAAAGTGGCTTATCACGTGGCAATTTATAGCAGCCAGTCACCAGTTAAACACTTTATAAAAAAAATTATACATTGCTCATTATCCGCGAATCAGATATATATTCCGCCTCCGGGAGCGTGACAGTAACGCTGGAAGACGGCAGAGTCCACTCACTGGTCTCGAGCGTGGTCCATGCCAAAGCCAGCGAGTGCATGGTGCAATACGATGACAACCTGTACCCTTGGCCAGGGGAAGATTATTTATCTGTTTAAACAACCCAACAACCGTCACCTTTTCTCCCAGCAACCCCCCCCCCCGTTACGATTTCACCGCTGCGTTTTCGGGTTGCACCGCCGTTGCGTGTTGCTCGGATGTATATATACATGTAGAACTTCTTTCGCACCATATGTAGCCAACCGTGCTAATTGGGATGTGCGGGGGGGGGTGAAGGACATCCGACGTTTCACTTCCGCGTGCTGGGAGCTTCTGCAGGAGCGGGCTCACGATAACGAGGACGCGAGCCGCTTCCTGAAGCGGCTCCCAGCACACGGGAGAAAAGCAAAGTCGGATGTCGTGGTAAACCAACACCGCACGGCGCAACACAACCACAATCTAAAAAAAACCCACCAAACCATAGCACAGCTGTGCACGGCACAACCGCACGAAATCCTATGCAGCAGTACGATTCAACCTGACTTGACAACACCGCACTCCTATCACTGGGTGCTTTTACGAAGCGAGCAACCAATGGAAATCGAGAGCCCTCCCCAGCTAGTTCACGAGAACGTAACCCGATTGGCTGGCTGAATGTTCGCGGTCGGGAGGAGATGGGCTGCGATATCAAGCTGCGTTGAAACACATCCTGGGGGGGGGGGGGGGGGAGAGCTAACGCTGAATGTGTTCGCAATAGACACATTGCCTTTCCCCAGCAGTCACATGATGGAAATTTGACACTGACCACAGGGACAAGCAACACTAATCCTAACCCACTTCAGACCGGCTGTTTTTTTTTTACAACCATTGTTCCAGGGAGAATTCGCATTTCAAAGCCTCAAGCTATTAAGGGACATCTGCTTCACGCAGACGGAAGGATCCTTTGTTCTGTGGGCTAGTCCCAAAAATAAAAAAATAAATCACAGATTACCTTGTGGTAAATTCCCAATCTGTCCTTTGTTCCTAGGCTTGCCCCAAAAGAAAAACACATCACAGATCACTTTGTATAAAATTCCCAATCTGTCACCAAGGCTACCACGGCCTGCCAGACAATCTAGAGGTCATCATCGCGCTAGGCAACAAGGGAGCAGACCCCCCCCCCCCCCCCCCCCCCGTAAGGGATCTGTGGCCAATCCCACTCTCCCGTGTTCTCGTCGGCGAGAACCACCAAAGCGTACCATCTGCCGCAAAGTGCAGGTTCGAAAAAGGCCTGCGACGTTCTTGACCAATAAATTAATCCCATATCAATATATTATAAAGTATTGTTAGGAAAGTCCTCCCGACAGACGTCGTTGAATTATCGAGTTCTGCGGCCCTCAGTACAACAAAACTGCCATTCGACGTCGTCCTAAGCACTGATCCGCCAACCCTTGCGCGACCGCTCTACCCCTCAGGACTCATCGACTCTATGCCAGTTCCAATCCAGTCGCAAGTAAGAGTTGTTGCCAGACTGCTGGTGACAAATGCCATAAACATTGCCATGGTGCCTCACAGGGTATAGGAGATATATGCGCAGAAAGACAAAATTCCCCCATATAGCCTTAACAGACTGTTGGGGAAAGTGCTGTCAGCAAGCACCTATGAAGGCCAACACGGCACACGGGGGGGGGGGGGGGGGGTGGTGGCAGGCCACCACCACGCACGGAAACCTTGGTTTCCCCAGTGGTGATATTTACACACCAGCTAATCATTTGAGGTCGAGTCGACCTAGGGAAGGTCCGCGACCCGTTCACATAATCGTCACTGGTGTCGACTGTGAGCAGGAATCAAACTCTCCACTACCCCAGAAAGGCGCCCACACTCACACGCAATGCTGCGCCCACGACTGCGGCAGTGACACCTACGCATAGCCAGGGTGGAGTAACTTCGGCATCGAGTTCTACTTGGATGAGTTACGTCCGGGGCACCCACCAATAGAATCTGTTTGGGGGGGGGGGCGGATTGCATGAGGGCAGCAGCGAGTCAAGTGCTCCACTTTTGGACTCGTAAACACACGCACACAAATGGTGGTGGCAGGAACACGGTGAGTGTTTACCATGCACCCCAGCCATTTATTGTAATCCTCTCCAGCTCGCCAAAAGTGGACAGGGTGGCTTGAGGAGGTTAGTGCTGGGTCTGTGTGAACGAGGTCATGGCGCTCACCCAGCGTGGCTAAGATCCTGTTTTTCAAATCGCCTATTTTCCCATTACAAGATCTGACGTATAGCTCTCCGTCTATACACTGCTGCATGTTTATGATGATGTATTAAGAGCTGAATGTGTACTTTTTTGACGCACCACTAATTGACCAAAAGCCAACGCCTGTTTATGTGCCTGGTTATTAAACATACCATTAATTAATTTCAGTCCCATGTTGGTGTCTAATGATAATCTTTTAAAACGACAGCCCTTTGTAAATCCACTGTTGGATGAAGGCTACCCCTCCCCCACTACCTCTCATGCCGTATAAGTCGTGGGAGTTAAGATATTACTCACAGGACCGGTTAAGATGTCGCGCAACCACTGATGCTAGCCTTGGCCAGGAATAAAACTCAGGTCGCTGGGTTCGTAGTGTAGTGCATTTACGACAAGTCAAAAGCCACTGAGTCTCAAAACACATTTGTGATGTGTGTGGCTAGGTGGTGCTCACTTTCACAACCGTGGAGAGGACAAAAGGGGCCCCAAAGTTGACCCAGACCAGGAATCAAACTCACTTTCTTGAATGGGAGGCCCTGTTTCTTCTTTACCAACTAAAGCTGGAGGACGGCCATGAAACTCACCGCACACAATCAGGCGGTCGTTTTTTTACCACCCCTGCTGTAAAAAAATATCCCTTGTACTCAAATTATCCCCGCGCATTGTGAACCAGGAAACTACCCCCCCCCCCCCCGCTTAATTAAACAAATGCACCGGCACTTCAGTTGAAGAAGCCTGCGATTTGCCGGTACAGCGGTGGATGACGGCCAGTGTGATGCGTCGAGTGTTGTGTGTGCGTGTAAACTATTCGCACCACAATGTTTTGCAAGAGGCAGGTAACACCACCACTAAAGCGACACGTGCATCTTAGGGCGGGCGGGCGGACGGGCGCGAAGACTTATGCAATGTTATGCAAACCAACTCTGTTCACATCTGTTTCAGACTGTGCAATTACGAGCGTTTCTCGTGGCTTAGTGATAATTTGCAGGAGTCTTGAAGCATTATTTAAGCCGATTATAAAGGAACAAAAAGAGGGCCCCGCGTAATTAAAGTGGAGGCCCATTGTTAATTGGCCCTAACCTGTGATCCTAATGGCCCACAAATAATAATAATGTGTTGCCTGCCAAACCACTTCTCAAAGATGAAATGTGACAGCACACCTCGAGCATGCGATCGTGCGAACTTTCTCCCGTGCCACCACCGAAGCACAGTTACCCCTGCAAGAACCACTGCGCTGAGATAGGTTTCAAAAAAAAGACCGATCAGAGTTTTATCCAACCACAGCTCTTCTTTCATCATTGGTTTTCAGTTGGTTAAATATTAAGCAAAGCCTCACCTCTAATTTCCAAGAAAGGTTTAAGGGTTATTGTTAAGATTAATAGGGGGGCAGGGTTAGGTTCACAGCCCAGGGGAGATATGACCCAGTGTTTGAGTTTGGGGATTGTTTTGAGTTAGGGGTTGTGGGATAGGGTTTAGGGCTATGGTTTTGTGATTATGGATTAGGGGATAGGTGTTAAGGTTTGCATTCGGAGTTATGGTTTAGGGTTATGGTTAGCATTCAGGGTATACGGTTTAGGGTTTGGGGTCACATTGTTTAGGATTGTGGGTGAGGGTTCGGGTTTATGGTTTTTAGGAGCCTGGGACAGTAAGTAGTGCATAAATTACCGCTTTTCTGCCCCAGGTTACATGATGTGGTTGAAGTGGACACTGTTTCCCTTGCAAGTTTCTCTTCTCGACGTTACATAAATAACAATTAAGCATAATCCATTCTTCAACATGTTTGCTCAGGCCGGTTTCCTGTATTTAACCGGGTGCGGGGCAGGTCTTTTGATAAAATACCTCTTGAGCAAGGGAGAGCAGAGGGCATGTACACAAGGGGAGCGTATTAGGACTTGTACACACCCACCACCTGGAAGATTACGAGATTAATCGTTTTGTGATCTCTGTAAGAGCAATGAATCAACGGCTCTGTTATCTACAGGAGCAAAAGTTCTGCAATACAATACCCCGAGAGAATGTGAAAAACGCCTCTTGTAATGATAATGTATCTATCTACAAGCTCACGACCAATTCACCTGCAACGCTTCCTTCAATATCTCGAAAGCTAAGCAGGTCCTTGAGAGCCTGGGTGGTGTTCGGATGGGTGACCACCAAGCACAAACCAGGCCGTTGTTATAGTTCGAGGTGGCCGCATGCTGCTACCTGATCAGGCAGCAGACGCCACGTGCAGCAAAATTAAAATTGCACTGAAATTCTATGCTCCCCGCCTTCGCCAACCCACAAATGGCCAGCAATGGTGAAGTATGGGCAAATAACTCCCCACGACCCGCAACTCTGTAGGGAGGCGCCCTCATCCAGCAGTGGATCGTCAAAGGGCTGCACCGGTACAATACCCGACCACGAAGGCACCGATGTTCAGACCTGTCAAGAATGAACGGGGTTCTGTCATACAGTCAAAAACGGTGCTAACAGAGGGTCAGTCAATGCCTGAAGTGACTCCTGCCAGAGGAATGTGGAATGGTCACCACTATCCTCCCAAGTGTCACCAGCAGAGAGCGAGAGATGGGGGAGTGGCGCCCCATCGACTCAAAGAGCAAGGGAGCCATTTTGATGGGACTGTGACATCAATATCTAAAATACCATCCAATTATAAAATGTTATCCAGCAGCAGTCGCAATACTGTACACTTTTTTGATCTTTCATCGTTCCCTTCACGTTGGGATTTATTGGGACTATTGTTTGTTTGAAGGCGTGCGATCAATCACCGCAACACGTTCCCATTACAACATCGGCCTATGGTTGTTTAAAGCCAAGCATCAAAATAAAGCACACAAAGGCCGCTTCGTAACCAATGTTCAAAACGAGTTGGGCTGATTTAAAAAAATAAAGAAAAGTAACGTAAGACAGCGTGCGGTTAAAATGGTTAATGTTTCTGTGCGTGCCGTTGTTGATCCTGCTGCTTTGGGTGACTTTGGTAGGGGTTAAGAGAATCGTGATAAATGATTGCACCGTGCAGACGTCTGTGTTGAGTGGACTACGATCAACTATCGTTATTGTGCATGGACCATCGGGAGCATCATCGCTCGGAGTGTAAAATAGATTTTGACACACGCGGCCCTCGGGATGCTCAATGCTGTAGACCAAGCGACGCCTATGACAATCCGACATGCATCGGAGGGGTGGTGGTGGTGGGGACGCCCCATTCAAACACCGACACACAAGGCCCGGATCGCGTTCAGCTTCGAAATAAATCAAAATCCGCGTGACCGTGAGATTCCGGCTCGACTGCAAACGACGGAAAAATCAACGAAAGACAAACGAATGAATGAACCGACGATTGAAACCCCTACACGGTGCGTGTTGTGTGTGTGTGGACATGTGCGTGTGTGAATACCTCTTTCGTAAGTTCGCTGCCTCCCACCGGCATGGCCTCGGCACCAGCCGCCAAGGGCCTCTCCTCCAATGCACGAGCCTCCTCCTGCCCAGTAGTCCGGGTCTCCACCACCACCACACCACCACCTCCTCCTGGCTGCCCCTGTCCCACCACCTCCACATCACCACCGCCACCGCCACCCACACCGCCGCCGCCGCCGGCTTCCGTCTCGACGCCCGCCGAAGACGTCGGAGAGCCCGAGGCTCCGCCGTTGCTGTGCACGAGCCACGCTGCGATGTCCGTGGTGCCGGCTCGAATCCGATCGAGGGATCGAACCTCGTCAAGGAGGCGTCGCATGTCCCAGAAGCCGTCGAGGACGGCCGCGTCGGGATTCTTTGGGTGCAGGGCTGGTCCGGGCCCACCCAGACCCAGACCAGGCCCCAGGAAGCCGGGTGTCGCGTCCCAGCCGGGCCGGGTGTGAGCCGAGCCCTGTACCAGCAGCAGGTCGTGAAGGTGGTGGTGGTGGTGGTGCTGCTGACCGGGCCCTCCCATCAGGTAGGTGTCCGGGTCCATGCGTAACAAGCTGAGCATGATGGTGAGCTGGATAAGGCCCTCTGTGAAGTACTTCTTCAGCGGGTACATGCTGCCGGTGTTGTTGATCGCTGGCGGCTCTTGACGGTGGCGGCTGGCACTTAAGCTGCCCTTTCTCGCTCCTTGCTCTATTAACAACTCTTCCTCTTGATAGTAGGGCTTTGCTTTGGTGGTCGTCGGTTGTTTGGTTGGTCTTGCTGCTGCTGCTTCTTGTTTGTTCAGTTGTTGTTCCTCCTCCTCCTGCTTCTTCTTATACAGCCGGCTTCTGCCTCCGCCTTTTTCTCGTGCAGTTGCCGTGACTTTATATGGCCTTCCTGATTCCTCCCACGAATGCTGGCTCCTTCCCCCTTTGCCGATGCTCCTTATTACCACTGCTGTTCGCCTCCAGAATTCTGACGTTTCGGTCAAGACGTGCTGTGAAGACGCCCTTCAAGCTGCTCGTTCATCCCAGTTGCTGATTCTGATGTTTAAATCCTCCTGCTGCTCCCGTTCCCCCAGCTTCTTACCACGACTACCAGTGACTTGCTTCCTGTAACAGTTACGTATTTATTGCTTCTTTGTTCAGGCGTATTATGGCCGGTCTTTCGTTACATAGACGACTCCCGTGTAGTAAACGTGTAGTGTATACAGGCCAGCGATGTCCGATTCATTAAAGAGAGACACGCGGGCGAGAGGGTAGCGGGGGGGGGGGGGAGACACACAAAGGAGGCGAATGGGGACCGGTGGGGGGGGGGGCTTCCCAAAACTTCTGGATCAATCCACGGGCTCGACCCCACTCCCTCCCCACACTCGGGTCCACGCCGAACGTAACGCAGCCCTCTCAGCCGATACGCATCAGCCGCGAACGCCCTCTGTACAACAGGGAGGGCGGGGGGGTTGGTGAGGCAGCGACTTACACTTAATGCGATTGCCTCTTTTATGGGTAGTAGTAATAGTAGTAGTAATGATAATCAACACGGCAAAAGGTGCGATTGTTGTAGCGCTTCGCTTAAAAAGCCTCCAACGCGCCTGCCCTGACAAAGGCGACCACGCATTTGCCTTCAACACTGACAGCGGAAGTCGTCGTGCCCCCCCCCGCCCCGCCTTAATAATTTATTTACTTTTTATGCCCTCCCCACCCCATGGTTTAATTTAAATATTACAGTCGCCCTGAGGGCACACGCGCGATGCAGTGTAAGCGGAGAGTGCGCGCAGCGATCTGCCTACAGGGCGTTTGTTATTACGTCAAGTAACGCCTCGATGCGGCGTCTCTTCGCGAACGCCGGGCCCCGGCTTCCTGGACGGGGTCCCACCAAAGGGGTGCTCGCGACGTACTGAAAATCGACAGAACAATTGAGGGTATTGTTAAAAATGTGTTATCAGTCATAATTTAATTTAAAAATATATACATTAATTAACATTAATGTCGTAGCATTATGCGCTTAAATTTTTTTGATTGTACGGTTAACCCTATTCTGGTAATTGGAAGACGATTTGGTTGCTTGATCGTTTGTATTGATAGACTACAGACAGAAAAAAATACCCTTGTGGTCCCCCTACTGTGACTTGCACATTGTTGGACCACTACACGTGGTAAGGGGCTTCGGGGGGTGGGGGGGGGGGTAACACAAAGATGCATCGATCCATCGATTCATATCGATTCATAAGCCCACCGCAGTCTATAGTAAATAACCTGCGTGGAATCGCGTGGTACCACGAACCTATGTTATTCGATTCGCGTATTGAAAAACATCGTTCGTGAAGGGGTCACGTGACCTCCACAGCCACTGAAGGCCGCTCTCCACATGGCCAATTAAAGGTCACTTAAAACATATAGATATCGTTTTTTAATCCGTTGCTAATTGCATTTTTAGACACTGATATTGAAACAGGCTTTCAAAATCGATATCGACCAGCAACCCTTAGAGGAAATAATCGTTGAATTAAATTGTTATTTTAAGTGGCAGTAAACCTTTTGTGTATTTTTTTTTTTCAATGTACGCCTGAAATATTATAGCAAAGTAGTAATAATATTTGCATATTCTTGGTTCTTTCGGTAAAGTTACGTAGATAGAAAATAAAATAATGAAATAAAATAATAAAAAATATTAATAGATTATTTTCAATTTATATATATTTTTTACTTTTAATTAGATTTTATTTAAATTTTCTATCTACGTGACTTTACCGAAATAACTAAGGATATGAATTCCTGCAGTCACGAAAGTTTTAAGTCAAAAATAATATTTGCCTTGCCAATAAATGTTTTATATATGTATATGACTTGTGGTTGTGTTTGATATTTTAATGAGATTGTATACCGCACATTTTGACATGCGTCTCCACTGCACCTTCACTTTGCCTCTACTTATTACATCGTGCCCACATATGCCACACACGTGTGACATTCCAGTTGGGCTATTGCCTCCAAAAAAGCTAAATTGGAGATACTCCAAAACCCAAACTCAAAACGTCTCTTCTTGGGGTTCCACAATCGCATTAAATCCCAAGAGACACCCATGCGGACAGCAACAGCTTGGCGAGATGTTAACTCCCTCGCCTGCTATGCAGGAGTTCGTGGGTTCGATCCCCGACCCTGACTGACGCCTGCTGCTGTATATTTCAAGTTTGTGTTCTCTGATCTCCACCGTGGTCGCGTGGAATTTCTCCGGGTCTTCTGGTTTCCCCTCCACATTTGGAATCGACATCATGCATTTAGAGTGTTTAGCTGCTATACATTTTCACGTGAGTATAAGCCAACTTCGTTGAGCTATCAAGTGTGGCCAGGTTGCTTCTGAAAAGAGCTAAAGAGCTCAGTGAGGCTTACCTGGTAAAATAAAACATTTTATTGTTTAGTTTTAGCTCAGAGGTGTGAGCCTAAGCTGACGGGTATCAGACACAGGCCCAAGCGAGGGCTGCACAGGTTTGCGACCTCCCAAACGGTTCGCGACCCCAACCTCTTTCAGCATTCCCGATGCAGGCCCAGGTGGGGGCTACAGACACAGGCCGAGTGTGTGTTGAACTTCTGTCACACCGTAGGTAGCCAACGGTGCTAATCGGAGGTGCGGGGCTAAGGACAACAAACTAAACACAAAGAGCAGTTCGAAAGAAATGAGTTTTCAATCGCGATGATTTAATCCTAAATGGCTTCAGTGCTTTCCTAAGATCTGAAGGAATAGAACCATAGAGACCAAAAGAAACCCACAGAGACCCATGCTCAATTGTATGTTGAATTTCTTTCGCACCGTACGTATCGAACCGCGCTAATCGGAGCTGCGGGGGGAAGGACAACAAACTAAATACAACGAGCAGTTCGAAAGAAATGAGTTCATTGTATGTGTGCATGTTGAACTTCTTCGGGCAGGGCTACACAGGTCGCGAGCTCCCAAACGGTTTGCGACCTCAACCCCTTTCAGGATGCCCACGTTGCGCTCTGACAAGATTGCATTTCTTTTTCTCCTCGTCCTTTCCATTTTGCCTGCCCCAGCTATGCCCCCTTCCCTCACCAATGAAGTTGTTTTGGGGCCTTGGGGTCTAGGAACCAAAACAGGTCGGGGCGCCAGACTACCAGTATCGTCATCAAACATTGCCAATCCACTGCTGGATGAAGACCTCCCCAGGATGACTCAATCTCTCGAGGACCTGTGATATAACACATCCCACAATCCACCAAGCCGATTGCATCGTTCTATTTCCTTGGAAAATGTCCTCCCGTGCTTTGCTGCCAATTTGTTATTAGTCTTAACCATCGGTCATCGTCGTTTCTAGTTACTAACCTCAGTGATGAATATCTGATCTGTACCTGGGTATCCCCTATGTCGACTCAGACTTAAATGATTACCTGGTACGGTATATAAACATCAGCACTGGTGAGGCAAAGGTGACTGGGCGTGATGCAGGCCACACGACCCCCAAGTGCGCAGTGGTGGCCTTTGATAACAGCACTTGCCCCAACAGTCTGTTAGAAGGCTATACGGGGCATAGTTTGCTTTGTATACACAACTTCTGTTAAACAGCAGCCTCCAAGCACATTCCAGCCAGAGGTTCCATCAAGCGAATGTAAACAGAGAAAATGTGTTTACAACGTTCACCCATTTCCCCGCTTTGGAGATGGACTCCGTCTGCCTTTCAATCATTGAACTTTGCTTATACCAGAGTGATACATTTATAGAGACGTCACGAAGAGCATAGGGATATAGTACAATTTGTTCTCCTACAACGCGTGTTGTTTTCAGAACGCGAATTAGATATAAAGCAACGAATGTATTAGGGAACACATTTTTTTCGTGTATAACACGATCGAATAGAGAGCAGAACTTCGTAGCGCGTAAAGGAATAAGCGGATGTAGCGTCACGCAAGGCGGGATGCTGCTGGATGCATCGAGAAGCTTATAACACGTGCCAAACTCTTTGTTCGGCCTGCGTACACGTCTGACGTGATCTCGTGGACTGCGCTTTACCCTACGTTATGTATTATTTATTATAACTTGATTTTTCCACAACGCGGTGTTCTCCGGGAACGCAACTACCGCGCATGTAGAACACAACTGTTTTTTTATTTCAAAGGTCTTTCAAAAATATCAAGAGTACTTAACCACTGTGGTTAATGGTGATTGGTGACTGTGGATCGTGCAGCACCGGTTCGGGCATCACTGACCACTGCTGATGGTTAGCCTTTGCCTGGAATCGAACGCAGGCCAGCAGGTTCGTCGCACAGTGTGCTTACCACTGTGCCATTTCTCTCTCCCTAAACCCACGAATAGATTTTGAGTAATGTATTTACAGTTGGATGTTAGTTACGGTCATAACTACGACCAGCGTTTAAATTTATCACTAATTTCTCATTGGCAGTGGTAGACTGGAGTAGGTGGCACGTGACTAGTAGCCATACGCATAGCGAGACGTATACTGGACGTGGTGTGCTGGTTTCAGAATGATTATTATTATTCCGGGTTGATAACCTGGAAAGAGCCAGTTAAAATTAAGCCTTGACTATGCCGGGGTGAACTGGATCGAGAGTGTCCTGAATTCACACAGCAACAGACTTCATTCTGGTTATATAAACTTATTTCCCCGAAGACTTTATCAGCCACCAGTGAAAATCGAAACTTCAGAGAAACTCGAGACTTTAGGGGTTGTTTTTTTTTACTGGGCACACCGGTTTTTCACCAATGTAAATGCGTGTCAGTCATGCGGGTTATTTGACCATACTTCCCCGCGATGGTCACTGTCGTGAAGTGCGTGAGCCTAATTGTAATTATATTTTACAGTCACGTGTCAATCCACTGATGGATACATGCCCTCCCTACACTGTCGTCAGCTATGTGGATTATTTCACCATGCTTTACCGTGGTGGTCAGTGGATATTATTGAGCAATGTGGATTGTGCAGAATCAGTTCAGATATCGCATGCCACCGAGATTAATCTATGGCTGGGAATCCAACCCAGGCCAGCAGGTTCATAGTTCTCGTCCCATTAATAGATTGGAGTTGTCTTCTTCCTCCTCCATACGGCTGATGTAAATGCAGAGCAACTACGATTTAAGCATTCAGGTGGTCAAGTCAGACAACCGCGTCAGGAGCAGCGCAGGAGCGTTACCGCTGTGATGTCGTATTTGTGGATCGGGGGGCATTGCTTCGTTAAACGGTGTATGGTCTGTTGTGGATAACCACGAGTGGACATTTGAGAGTTTTAGTTTGAAGTAATTCACTCACACGGGGGTGTAAGTCGCGGTGATAATTGCACCAGTATGAACTGGTCTGGTCCTGATATCAAAGTACTTAATTCACAGGGCAATGTTCTTCATCTGGGCGATATGACCCTGTTCAAATCGAAACTCCAGAGCAATTCTACATTTTGGGTATTCACCGGACACACCGTTTCCCCCCCTCACCCCCCCCCCCCCGCATGCAAAACACACACTTGTTGAGCAATCGAAAAATCATCTTAAGCCACAGGAACATTCTGGAAACGGCTTAGAGAGTGTGAGACTTTCCAGCATAAAATTACACTTCACTGGATTTCCAGTTACCGTATGAGAAGTGGGCATAGTATGCAGCAAGTCGTGGGTTCCATCCCTATCCTGATGCCTGCTGTATATTTGGAGTTTG